TTTTCTTTTGTTTTATGGAAAATAAATTTTTTTTTTTTTTTTTTTTTGGCAATTAGAAAAAATTCTAGACACTATGGTAAAAAAATTTCACTTTTATTGATAATTTTCATGTAAAACAAAGCCAAACGAATGGTATTTGATATGGTTATTATTTTTTCAATTTTTTTTTGGCAATTGGAACAAATTCTAGATCCAATGGTAGAAAACATTATCATTTTAATGGACAATTTCCATAAGAAACGAAGTCACACGGACACCAAACTTTCAACATTTTCCATGAAAAATTATACAAATCAAACACAATTAATTACAATTCCCAGTAAAACAATTTCTAGACAAATCAATTCCTTGTAAAATATTTTTTTTCCATCTATTTTCCACATTTGCATTGAAACGAACCCTCAGAATTTTTAGTTAAATGCATGTGATTGATATTGATATATTAAATTTAGTCGATGACTACCATTATAAAAATCGAGGGATAGAATCCACTAACTTCTTCAAGAGCCAAATCTAAATTATAGTGGTTTATCCAGTGTTCTGAAACTCGTGAAAATGCGCCGCCTAGGCCACGCGTAGGGGCGGCGCGTGGGAAAATGCGTTTTCATCTAAAAGGCGGCGCATTACCTAGGCAGGATTAGGCGCGCCTAATGCGCGCATTATGCAGCCCAATTTTATTTTTTTTTTGGTAAAAAATATTACGCATTTTAGAACACTGGGTTTATCACACAACACTCATGATAACTATATATAAAATAAGTTGTAAATATACGAGTTTACAAAATATACACTCAAACTACTTACCAAATATATACTCGTAAATACCCCAATATTTTCTATACAAATATTTACCTAATTATAATTTAAGAATTGTAGTACCTTCGGAATACTAAAATTGAAGACAACATTCTTTTGATCGAAATTTTAGTCAACTCTAGTATATATTCGATGGAACATATAAAAAATATACATAAAAATATTGAAATGTATTTAGTACTTTATACTAGATAAGATCTCAACATATTAAGCGCGAAAAGACACCGATTAATATGTAAAAGTTAGCGACACCGAAAAAATAGTAAACAAAAGTGAAAATTATTCTTAGAATTTGACACATTTGTGAAGTCCCATGTGACTTACTACAACATACAAAGTTGCCATTTATGTAAAAACTATCATATGAAAATTCAAAAACATAACCTTCTTTTAAACTGTTTAAACTTCAGAAGTTTAAGATTATAAGATGAAATCACGAGGG